GAAAATACATATTGTAACACCATCAGTAACTTGTATATTATTGTGCTTTCATCTTTCTTTCATTAAAGAAAGGCCTCTTATTTCTATAGTTATCTCTCTCTCTCTCTATATATATATAGATATAGAGCGAGAGAGAGAGAGAGAGATAGATATATAATCTCACACCTATATTCTTGCATGAGCCTAGCATAATATCTTTCTAAATTTTAGTTTTTTTAAGAGTGCCTTGCATTAGTTTAGAGTTTTAATTACTTGTGATATTTTGTTTGTATTTGTCAACAGACCCAGAGTAGAATATAGAATTATGGGGATGAAGAATGGATGCTTCGACCCTACCCCAAGGGTTCTTTATATAGAAAATGAAATTAAAGAATTTATATAGAGGCCCTTGTAGAGCTGAAGAGAAAATAATAATAAAGTAAGAGAAACAATACAATAAGAATTACAGTAAAATGGTACATCAGGGGGTTTCTTCACACTCCCCCTCAAATTGATCCGGAGGCATGAGCATTAGTTTACTTACTAGAAATAAGTGTTTGGACCTTGTCATGGCCTTTGTGAAGATGTCAACAACTTGCATATTAGAGGCAACATGAGGGAGAGGTAGAGTTTGCAAGAAACATGTTGCGGATAAAGTGGCAGTCCACCTCAATATGCTTTGTCCTTTCATGAAAGACGGGATTAGAGGCAACCTTAATAGCACTAGTGTTGTCCGCATACAGAGGAATGGGCGTAGGAGAGGAATGACCCAACTCCTGAAATAAAGATTGAAGCCAAACAACTTCACTACAAACATATGACATTGCTCTGTACTCTGTTTCCATAGAGGATTTGGAAACAATCTGTTGTTTCTTGCATTTCCATGATATTAGAGAGTCACCCATGAAGACACACGTCACACACCACCTGGTAGTGGAGTGGCATGTGTCGGGGCATCCAGCCAATTTGCATCAGCAGAGGCCTTCAGTTGGAGAGAAGAAGATGAGGAGAAGAAAAGACCTTGTGATAAAGAGCCCCGAATATAGCGGATGATTCAATGCACCACAGTGAAATGAGATTGATGAGGGGCATAGACAAACTGACTAACAACTTGAACTACATATGAGATTTCAGGATGAGTCATGGTCAGATAGATGAGGGACCCTACAAGTTGCCGATAGAGGGAAGCATCAGGAAGCAGGGAGCCTTTTGATTTGGATAATTTGACATTTAGCTCCAAGGGAGTATCATCTCGTTTATCATTAGTGAGGTTGGCCAACTTAACAAAATAACCCTGGGAGCTCCATTGAACTTCAAGTCCCAAGAAATAATTACGAGGGCTGAGATCTTTCATGTGAAAGGAATTGTGGAGAAGAGACTTGAGGTCCTGAATTTTTTCTATATCATCTCCAGTCAACAATATGTCATCCACATATAGTAAGAGAATGGTAAGGCCCTGGGGTCTTTTCTGGTCAAAGAGAGAGTAGTCCGATGCACTTTGGCTATATCCGGCTTGCACGACATCTTTGAATTTTTCAAACCAAACTCGAGGGGCTTGCTTGAGCTCGTAAAGGGACTTCTTCAGCCGACAGACGGGAGGGACCACTACAGTACCCGGGAGGAGGTTTCATATATATTGTTTCCTTTAGATGCCCATGTAAAAAGGCATTTTTCACATCCAGTTGAAAGATAGTCCAAGAGTGTGCAACAGAGAGGGCTAAAAGAACACAGATTGTAGTAATATTGGCCATTGGAGCAAATGCATCTTCATAGTCAATGCCATACTCCTGCGTATATCCCTGTGCCACAAGCCTGGCTTTGTAACAGTATGGAGACCCATCAGATTTCAGCTTGATGAAATAGACCCATTTGCTCCCAATGATAGAGCTATCTGAAGTTGTTGGGACAAGGTCTCAGGTGTCATTCTCATGCAAAGCTTGAATCTCTGCATCCATGGCTTCTTACCACTGAGGGTTGCTACTAGCCTGCTAGTAAGAATGGGGAATATCTGTAGAGGTCAAGGCAATAGAGGAGCTATGGTTTGAAGGAAAACTGTAGCAGTCAGGTGGAAGAGGGGTTATCTGTGATGGGCGAGGGATCCAGACTAGGAGGAAGAGGGTCGTAGGCATAGGAGCTGGACCACGAACCTGCTTGCGAGAGAAGACGAGAAGATCCTTCTCAGCAGTGGACGATGGAGTATCCTGTGGTTCAAAATCATGCAAAACTGAAACAGAGGGTGCAAATAACTTGGCAATTCCTGAAAAAAGGAGATATGCTCAAGAAAAATCACATTTTGAGAAATACGGATACAACGTGCTGACTATAAAAGCGTAGGGTTTTTTTTTTTGATTTGTAGAATTTTTTTTTTGCGCCTTGCTTCAAAAAGGTGCGCGCCTCGCCTTGCACCTTGGGCACAAATTGATCCTTGTGCCTTTTTTGTGCCTTGCAGATATATATGACAGGCAACCTTTCCTTGTTTTCCTTATCTCCAAAACCAAACTTCTTTGCATATGCTTCCATACCTAAGTTCTTATATTGACCCATGCTGTTCTGTTTTTTATGCCTCGTCAACTTGCCTGTCATCATCATCATCCATGCCATATCCCAACTATATGGGGTCGGCTACATGAATCCTGTTTCGCCAATCCATTCTATTTAAAACCATATCCACTATGTGGAGACCGCTACAGGAACTTGCCTGTCTTCACTCTAATGCATGGGTCCTGTTTTTAACTCTTAGCTTCATGTTTTTAAGGGCCTAAAGTTGCTTATCTGTACCTTCCGTTTTTTGGTGTATTTGAAAGAAAGAAATAAAAGGATTTTTAAAGGGGGGAGGGTGCAAGTGAGTGTTTGCTTTTAGATGCTAGTTAGTTTGGTTAGAGGTTTTATGAAATCTGATCTAATGAGCTTAACTTTCTCTATCAAAACAAAGCCTATCATGCTATTACTGAGATGTATAGTTTTTGACAAGCTGGTTAGTCTTTATTTTTTATAGGGGTAAATTTTTGAATTTAATGAGCTTATTTCTACCTATATTTGTCCTATACCCATGTATGTGGGAACAAGGTTTAAAATGTCAGTTTCAATGGAATGCCAACCACTTAAAAAAATGATGTCAGAAGTATTGGAAACTTTGTAGATTTTTTGAAAAAAATTTGTAACATTTATATATTGGTCTATGAAAATATTTCAATATTTTTCAAATTATGAAAAAGCATATTCTTTTGAATAATTACATAATAATATGGTGATAGATATGATTTTTCTCTTATGATGCTTTTTAAATGATTACACGATTTCAAGATGGCCTCTTCTTTCGGTTAGAAATAAATTTAAAGGTTAAAAATTATTTTATGGTATCTGCTATTGATTATATCTTGTTTGATTTAAAAGTTATGATGTACATATAGTCCTTATGCTATTATCATGGTTTAAAATGTCCCTAATTTCCCTAATATTTCCACGACATATTTCCATTTCCATAGTTAGCGACATGGAATTTTACTGGAATCGACATTTCCCCATTGAACACTATCAGAACTATGTGGAAATAGTTTCCACAACATATTTCCATTTCCACTTCCATGGGTAGTGACATGAAATTTTATTGGAATGGACATATTCCCCAATGAACACTACTAGTACTTTGTGGAGCTCAAGAGTATTATAACATAAGTTGGTGACAGTATTCCAGATATGTGAAGTAACAATGTTATTTTATGCCTAACTTACATGATAACCACCTTGAGCTAGCTCAATATTCATTTCAAACATGAAGTTAAATATTAATTTTTTGTTTGTGTAATAGATTATATGGTTGATCTATTACACAATCATTTACATTTTCTCTGAGTTTAAATTTTTCTTTAACACATTCTATTATGAAACTCTGAATCTTAAGGTTTACAGGGCAACTTTAGAATGTATTCTTTTGTCCATAACTTTAGTTTCTTAGCTTTGTTTAATGATTTAGAACAAGATAGTGATTTAAAAAGGTGTGCCTATGCATCTTTTATCATTTCATAAAATATCATTCTATGTTTTGCATATTTTACACTATTTCCACCATGTTTATGATTTTTACAATATTTCCATTCGATGTTGCCGACATATTTTACACTATTCCACCATATTTTAAACCTTGGCTATTATATTGTTCATTCCTTTTATTAAATTATGTATAACTAAAATATTCCATTATGGAAAATAAGAAGGAAAGATAATCCATAGATAAATTTGAAATATATAATTAACAAAGTAAAACTTGTTGAGAGTATTATAACTAACTGTTTTTAAAATTTTAAGTCCTTCGTACTCCCCGATAACATATAAACAATATGATTGGGTTGTTGAATTTTTCTTATTTTATCAAATTAAGTGGAAAATGGAAATACTCACCTAAGTGGAACTGTGGAAGTGTTATTTCATGATTTCTTAACGTACCCATCCACATAATGCTCTCTCACAGTCTTCAAAACTTTTGTTTAATCTCATTGAAAATCATCAATCACACAGCATACTACATGTACTCTATTTCACCATTCTCCTCTAATTAATTCCACAAGGAACATCCTCTTTGACTTTTCCCATAATATGGATGGTTGAGACAAGGCATGCCGATAGTCATTTTGCGACATTTATTTGTCGTTGAATTTATATGCACCTTTGTTGCAATATAGAGTAAAAATGTTTGTCGCTGACTTGCTGGCCATTTCTCAGATTGTGTTGGGCAGAAATATCTTAGGCTAGAACTAACTGTTATTTTATTTTATTTTTTTGACCATAATACTGGAAAAACTTGTAACCGATCAATCGGTATCATAAAAGTGGTAACCAATCAGGTGGAATCTATCAAAGTTCACCGGGAGGGGAGTTGATTGGTCAACCGTTCTGGTATCATGTCTTTCCGGCAGCGTAGTTTTTTTTATTTTATTCCTTTTCCAATAATGTTTGCAAGATATCTGTTTGAGAATATGTCCATCGCAAACCTTGCCTAATAACGTGTAATGCATGATTTACAGGGAATGGCTAAGACCTGGTGAAGAAACACTAGTTCAGAGGTTTGATCCATCATCGCCACTTGATACCATTGGTTTCTTCATTGCCAAGTTTAATGTTGGCCAAAAGGACACCTGATTTCGGCAGTGCAAAATGTATGACAACGGAGACTCATGATATCCGGCTGCCCTATCATTTGCTGTGTAAAGACTGAAAGTAAAATTTGTTAAGTGTCAATTTTCCCTCTCAGAAAGGTGTACCATATACAGCCGGTGCTCTTTGCAACCTAGCTATGAGGTGGTTGGCGGGAAGCATGAATATGAAAGCCCTAGTGGTGGTTTTGAGGTGTCGGATCACTAGGAATACTTATAATCAGATTGTCCAAGTTGAGAAACCAGTTCACGGGGCCCACAGTTTTCTATAAACCGATAATTAGGGCCCAGGATCAAGAGTCATTATTACTGTAAGAAAATATTTATTTATTGAGCTAAGAGCAAATAAACTGAACAGATTTGATTGAAATGCAGTTGAAACACTGCCCACCATTATACCAAAGCACCTGTTGTTTTTTTATTTCCGTGCCCAATTAAACATAAGAGTTACCTGATGTAGTCTTCTGTCATCTGAAATTTCCAAAACCTGATAGCATATATTCTTGAAAAAATAGGATTAATTGAATGCAATAGCTGTTCAGCTGGTTGTGGAACCAGTGAGAAGCAATGGGAATGCCCAACCATAAAATACATGGGGTTGAGTTCTATCGATTTTATAACTTGCCTGGGGCACTATCACTCCCCATAGCCCACTTCACAGCCATTGCGATCAGCTAATCCAATCTCATTTTTCAAAAAAAAAAAAAAAAGATTAGCTGAACACAATAGTTTAGTGGGCTGAGGAACATGTGGGTTTCATGTATTTTATGATTGGTGCGGGGCGTTATCATTGGCTCCACTTTCACAGCTCATTTCACAACCATCGTATTCAGACCAATGTTTTAAAAACCGACCCAAACTACTTTTGCCTTCAGCAGTTCAACCATTTGGGATTAACACTTTGACTCATGATGTCAAATAAAAAAAATACTCTAAAGTCTATTTAGAGCGTGTTCTTATTTCTTATTTTTTCATTTATTTTAGACCGAAATCCATTTAAATGTGTGTTATTGTTATTATGATTCATTTTAGGCTTCACAGAGAAATAAAAAAATTGAAACAAGTTTTTTCAATCAAAGTGAATCAATATTTTCATTTTATTTTTGATTAAAACAGTAAAAATCACTATTTTCATTTGATTCAATCGATGGGGAAATTTGAATCAATATTTACATTTTGTTTTTGATTCAAATAGTTTGAATCAAACTTCGATCGAAAGACAAAAACAAAAATATTCATTCAATGGATGGGGATTGGGGAAATCAAACATCCTTATTTTCATTTGGAATCAATCGATGGGGAAATCTGAAAAACACCTGAAGGTTGCCACTTCAACTCACTGCCCGGTTGCCACTGCAACTCTGCAAGTATACACTGCCTCTCAAGTGGTCAGAGGCCATGTTATTCATTGCCGTCCAAGAAGGTTTCTACTGCAACAGCTGTGGTTTGAAACTTTAAGGGGAGAAGGGGAGGAGAGGAGAAGAGAGATATCCCATGGTTGAGAAAGAGAAAAAAGAAAACCCTGAAGTGATATGTCGATTGGGTCATTCGGAACATAAATGGCATTTTTAGTTTCTTGTATTTTAATTTAACTAATTTTTAAAATTAAACCGTGAACTGCTGCCCTGGTCGAATGGTTCAATCAGGTCAATGGAATCGGGAAAATGATTGGTTTTTGGGTCAAATGGTCTGACCACCCAGGTCAATGGCAGTTTTAAAACCTTGGTTCAGCTAATCCAATCTCGTTTTTGAAGATAAAACAAATACAGCAGCTTTCTTGATTATCTATGCATTCCTTGATCCCTGCTGTTTAGTAGTCGGATAGTTGCATTGCATCTTTTGGTAAGATGAAAAACGAGGTTCATGGTAGAAAGGCCAAAATGGAGATTTTCAGACTTCAACATCAATTGAGGCACCAAAACTTACAGAGGTCCTTATTTATTTCCAATACCACTTCTTCCCATAACTTATTCCTCGCCTCTGTAAATGTAACACATGCATTCCGTGATCCTGACTTGGGCTTTGGGAGGGAGAATCTACAAAGTTGGAAAAATAAAAGCGTGACTATACACTCTACTCTAGGGTGAGTGGATAGAGCATTATATTATGTTATCCACGTTTCCCACTCACTAAAAGTGTTCTCATAAAGTTTGTTTAGTCATGATTTATGAAGAGCGATTTGATTACTTTGAGGGGCATTCTAGTCAAGAGGATGGTTGATGTTCTTGCTTATGAGGTCAGCTACACCTGGTTGGAATTCTTTCTTTGGGGCAGCTTAGTTGGCTGCACCACAATAGGTTCCTCATGCCTCATGGTTCAGAGCTTCTATGGTGTCGTTTTCCCTATGTGGCGAATTTCAGTCACTAGTCAGTCACTACCTTAATAATCTTTTGGGATAATATTTGAAGAGGAGAGCTGCTTGGGACACTAATTCTCTTGCCACAATCAAAGGTGTGACGATTTTTATCGGTTTGTATTTGTATGATATATAGATGGTGTATACGTATGGGTGTGTAATTTTACCATACATTAAGGTTCTGTTTGTTTTTTGTTAAGCCATTTATTCATGTTCTTTTGATTATAAGTGTTTTTTCAAGCAAATTAAATAATTAATAAAGTTTTATGAATAAAACTTCATTATAAAAAAAGGAACAATTTTGTACCATAATGTTTTATCAATTTCCACAATGCGATAAAGTTATCCCTAGATAAGTGATAATCATGAAAGAAATAATTACCGTGAAATCTGTACTTTTTAAGAATAAGACATAGAATTATTGGTCAATACGAACAACTTTTCCATTAACTAATTCCCCCTCCATGTACTGATAAAGCGAATAGGCATGAGAAACAAAAGGCTCATTTTATTAATAATACAAAAAACCGGTTCAAAATGAACTAACATATTAATACACTGATCATAGATAATTTTCTGAGACCACCCCTCGGCAGAAACTCTTGATGACAGCACTTCAGCCACCAGTTCAGTATCTATTATTATCAAAACATCCATCCCATCCTTGATCCAACAATATCTGTATGGCTATCAAGGCATAATAGTCATGTAGCTGCTCTTCCAATTTGAGGATTAAAAGATCCGTCCACCATCCATTTTAATTTGGTACTTGGGACAAGGTTTAAATGATGTTGAATTACTTGTGCGAGGAAGGAAAATTTGACACGTGGCAAGTAAGTGATAGATTTCTTTTCAACCAAGGTTTTTAAGACCGAATCGGACAACGAACCGGTTGGGGTTCGGTTCCTGGGTCGAACGGTCTGATTGGTCGAATCGAATGGACAGTTCGTTCTAGCAAAAAAAAATTTAAAAATAAAAAACGGCCAAACCGTTGGACAGTTCGAACGGTTTGCTAACCAAATCAACGGTTTTTGGTGAAATAACAGTTCTGGGGTAAAATGGAAACAAGGTTCAAAAAATCGACACGTATTGACCGATATGTATCGTATCAGGAACACCCCAATACGCCCCTATAAAGGGTGTATCGGGGTTTTGACCGATTCAGGGGGTGAACGAACCTTAAATGGAACTAGTCACCTGAACGGAACCGATCACCTGACCGATTCCTGGTTTTTCCAATCCGACCATCTGGTCCGGTCCGGTTTTGAAAACCATGTCTTCATATCAGCTGCATAAACGATTTGATCATTAGAATCAAGGCATAATGGTCATGTAGCTGCTCTTCTAATTTGAAGATCAAAAGATCCGTCCACCATCCATTTTAATTTGTATTTTTCGTGCACAAGCTGCCCCCATATAGTTGGGTTCATGGTTTTCAAAACTGGACCGGAATAACCGGGAACCCTGGTTCCGTTTTTCTAAAAACTGGATTTTCTCCCAAAACCGTTAATTTTGGTCAGCGGACCATTGAACCGGGTGGTTAATTGTTCGAACCATTCGAATGATTTTAACTGTTTTTTATTCTTTTTGATTTTTTTTATTTCTTGTCAGAACGGGCCAAGCGTTCGGTTTAAACGATCAAACTGTTCGACCCAATAACGAGACCCTGACCGGTTCGGTGACCGAATCGGTTTTAAAAACCATGGTTACGTTAGGACTTAGGATAAGGTTTAGATATTGATAGATTACTTGTGTGAGAAGGAAAAACTTGACACGTGGCAAGTAAGCGATAGACTTTCTCTCTCAATGACCACAATAGGGGAAATCTGTTCAGGCGCAAGGACGAAGTCTCATCCCTCACATGCCTTTCAAGACTGGAATCAAGAGCAGATGTGGTCCCTCATGTGGGTCCCATCTAAGTGGCGTATCTCAGACTTGGTCCGTTAATTAATGCCTGCATGCATCCCACTAACTTGTCTTACGTGCAGCTCTTTTTCTCCAGTTCCCACCATAAAATCAAAATATTGTGGAGTTGCAGATCCATGAGCGTATGAGATGCCAAAAAGGTACTGATTTGGGCAGATTGCTAGAAGGTGAACATTTCCAGTGAAAAGACAAATCATATACCTCAACAGATAATAGTAAAAATGAGCATAGAAAAGTATTTTTGTCTGCTTAAATTTTGAAAAGCACTTTTGCTAACAATTCTGTTTATTATAAAAAGCATATTATATATTTCTTCGGTATCATATCTTTCCCGCATCATGGTTGAACACCCCCCCCAAAAAAAAAGAAAAAAAAATTAATTAATTTAAATTTAATAATTGTTCAAACCACTAATTGAACATCATAATCTCATATCTCAGTTGGACCCATTCAACGGTGGGTGTTAGAATCTCATCTGCTTGTTGGCCATATTCAATTGAAAAAAAAACAGAAAACTCTTGATTAATTTTTAATGGTGGGTGTTAGAATGATAGAATCTCATCTGCTTGTTGGCCATATTCAATTGAAAAAAAAAAAACTCTTTTGATTAATATTTAATGAATTTAAGTCTCAAGTGATGATCAAAAAATGCCTTTCAGGAGGCATCCATGATAGAAACATGTTCATCGCTTGGCTTGAATGGCCCTGTTTGTTAAAGGGTTATGGTAATGGGTTATAGGGATATCTGGGTTGGGATCCGGAGACTCAGGACCTGTACAACTGTACATCGGTCTAGGGACACATGACTTACCATCTGTTTCATGAATAAGGCTGCATTTGGAATTTTTTATTTTAAAGATTTATCTCCTTTTTGCTGTTGAAAACTCAAGTGTTTATAAGAACATTTTTTTTTTTAACTGCAAAAAGGAGATAAGTCTTTAAAATAAGGACTGCCAAATTTAGCCTAAGAAAACTAAGACCCCACTAAGGTTTGGTATCATTGCTCCTTCTACCTGGAATGGTCTTGAGTTGATCAATACAAATTGACATACAACTGTTATTTGAGTCTGTTTGTGGTGTGACAAACACATCTTTCACCAATTTGATTGATCAACCCAGAACGTTTCAATTAAAAATAG